GAGGGCAGAGTGGGGGAGGGGATAATCAGAAGCAAACACTTCTGAGGAGGGATAGGGTCAAAAGAGAGAATAGAATAAATGGAGGGTAGGGTAGGATAGGATGAAGGGAAATATACTTAGTTTCTCACAACATGACTACTATGGAAATGTTTTACATGGCTACATATCTGTAACTTGTATTGAGATACTTGCCTTTTCAATGAGGGTGGGTGGGGAGGGAGGAAGGGAGAAAATTTGGAACCCAAAGTTTTAAAAACACACGTTAAAAATTTTTAAAAAGTTTTTTTTTTTAAAAATGATGAACAGGCTGACTTTAGAAAAATCTGGAAAGACTTGTATGGTCTGATGCTGAGTGAAATAAGCAGAACCAGGAGAACACTGTACACAATAACAGCCACGTTGTGCAATGACTAATATTAATAGACTTAACTCTTCTAAGCAATACAAGGATCTAAGACATCTCCAAAGGCCTCATGATAGAAAATGCTGTCCACAAAGAAGAAAGAACTGTGGAGTTTGAATGCAGATCGAAGCATACTATTTGCTATTTTTTTTCTTCAGTTGAGATTTGTTTCCTCTTTCTGGTGGTGCTTCCTATTGGTTCTAATTCTTACTAACAACATCACTAATGTGAAAATATGCTTAATAGGAATGTATATGTATAGCCTATATCAGGCACCATCTTGGGGAGGGAGGTGGGGAGGGGAAGAAAATTTAAAACTCAAAAGCTTATGGAAGTGAATGTTGATAATTCAAAATAAATTAATTAAAAAATGAAAGAATTTAAAAACATAAAAAAATAAAAATAAAATAAAAGAAGCCTTGCCCAATTCCCTTTATTTGTAGTACCTTCCTTCTATTATCACTAATTTATTCTGTATATATACATATATGTATATAAAGGGGATACGCACATATGTATGTATGTGTATATGGATATATAATTTGTTTATAGTTCTTGGCAGCCTTCCCAATTAGACTATTATACTTAGCACAGTGCCTAGCACATGGTAGGTGTTTAATAAATGCATATTTACTTGACTCAAAACAAAAAATACAACCAAATTAGCATAATTATAGCTGCAATAATAAGGCACAACACCCCCTTCAAAGTAAAGCACTTTGAAAATATATCAGAGAGCTTAACAGCCTAAAGCTCCAACTCACTCAATCTCATATATTGGGTGTGTTCAACACAAACAAGCTATTAGCCTTGTTTTTCAGGGTGGAGCTATTATTATTTCTACCTGTTCCTCTCAGTGACTCAAACCTCATTAAAGGGGGGAAAAATGTGGATCCTGTCCAGGAATGTGATTGAAAGCAGGTATAATTGTGGAAGAAGGAATATATGGCTAAAAGAAAATGGGGCTTCTCTGCCCAAGGGAAGGGATTTTAGAACCCTAGAAAAGGAGTTTGTACCAGTGGAGCTTGCACCAGGGAGCAAGAGCCAAACACTACCTAAGATGAGAAGCCTGAGGCTGTCAAAATATTGAAAGATGAAAAAGTTAACTATAAATAAGCCTAGTACCCAAGTAGATTAACAGTAAGACTTTTTTTGCTTTGTAAACCTTAAAATTATGTGTGAATGAAAGTTATTATTATTATTATTATTACTAATTTTTTATTTGACTTCAATAAAATTCCCTCTTTATTCTAATATCTTTTTATATGATACCTCTTTAGTGGCCTGGTTGATTTCTCCTGAGTTTGGTTTATTCAAATTTTCTCTTTCCTTAGCTATGGATATAGTTTTGTAAATTTATACATTTTATAGTTTTGACAATATTTTATCCATTACTGTTATAATATCAATTTTGTAGATATATATCTATTCATATCAGATACAGTTTATTTAGCACTCTTTTCAAATTTGTAACTTTAGCTAGAGTGAAAAAGGGGAATTAAATAAGTGATGATAACTGATGACAGAGAAAAGGTGTTGCTGCTCAATTTTTATTTTAATTCTGATTTCTCTGCCAAGGACAATGATTTAGGTATAAGAAAGGACAGAACAAAAATAGATAACAAATACCAAAGATACAAAGATAAGTAGGGAGACAATAAGGGAGATGACCTTTAAGGAATTTAAATCAACAGGCCCAGATGAAATAATGACCTGTAATTGTTGAGCCACTATAAGAAATCTTTTTGAAAATAAATTTTTATTGAGGTTTTGATTTGTTTTTTTTTACATATCACCAAAATTCTTCTAGTATTCCACTCCATGAAAGCCATCTCATAGAGCAAACAATATTTTAAAGACAAAAGGGGGGTGTGAGCAAAGCTGATCAATATATTTGAAAATATGTGCAATGTACCATACTCTTGGACTTTTTGCCTCTGCAAAGGTACATGTATCCTCTCATATCTTTGGGGCTATGATGGTTTTTTTGTAATTTTGTAAAGTTCACTTTTGATTTTTGTGTTGTTCTTTCTGCTTACATTTTCAGTTGTTATGTATACTATTTTCTTGGCTCTGCTTATTCTAAATTCTATATCAATTTATTGATAATAATTTCTTATAGCACAGTAAAATGGCATTACATTCATATAGCTGAAATTTCTTTAGTCATTTGCCAGTCAATGGACACCTACATTGTGCTGCCAATGATCTTTGAAAGATCTTGTTGGAAAAAAAAAAACAACATGCAGGAGGGCTGGAGAAGAATAACTGTCTCAGTTGTGAGAAAGGCAAAGGAACTTGATTAATATTCCATTAAAGTTCCAGAATGCATTATTTAAAGAGATAGATACATAAACAGAGATTCAGCATGGTTTTTATCAAAAAAGAATAAGCCAAACCACACATTTCCTTTTTTTGACAAGTGACTAAACTAGTAGATCAGAGGAATGGTAGATATGCTTTATCTAGATTTTAGCAAAGTATTTGATTAAGTTTCTCATGCTATTTTTTTTAGAAAATGTGAAGAGATATAGGCTAGATACTAGTTCAATTAAATGGATTCAGTATTGGTTGAATATCTGGCTTCCAAACTTTAATGGTTCAATGTCAATTTGGCATCTCTCCAAGGAGAGTGCCCCAAGGATCTGTGCTGATTAAGATTTTTAACAATGACTTGGGAAAAGGCATTCTTATCAAATTTTCAGATAAAACAAAACTAGGAGAGAGAGCTACCACAGAGATAGAACTAAGATCCAAAAAGATCTTGATGGTCTAGGAAATTATGACAAATTGAAAAACATAAAATTTAATAAAGTTAATAAATACAAATATATATATAATATATATATATATAGTAGCTGAATTCAAGGTAGTGTGTAGGATAAGACTAGAGTGAGAAAGAGAATTCAGAGAGGCTTACTACAATTTTAGTAATCTAGACGAGAGATGATGAAGGCTTGACATAAGGTAGTAGCTATCTGAGTAGAAATAAGGCGTCAGTTTCAAGTGATTTGGAGGTAGAAACAGCAAGATTTGTCAATTGAATAGATATATGAGATGCTAAAGAGTGAGAAGTTGATCTCAAAGGTTATGAGCCTGGGAAACTGAAAGAATAGTGACTCCTTCAATAAAAGTAAGGAAGTTTTGGAAGTGGGGTGTTATGGGGGGATTATTACTTCAATTTTGGACCTGTTGAGTTTGATATATCTAAGGGACATGCAGTTTGAAATGTATGACTGGCAATTGATGATCCAGGACTGAAGGTCAGGGGAAACACTAGACCTGGATATATATCATTTGCATAGAGAGGATAGTTAAACCCATTTTTGCTAAGAGAGAAGTAAAGATGGGAGAAGAGAAAAGGGGGGAAGGACAGGGAGGGGGAGCAATTGAGATTGGATAAATACCCTCTCAGCATAGTTGTGAGACATACTTCAGCTACGTTCAACAGTTGGTGAGTAGTAGTGAAGGACACACCGATGTTGGGCGTGATCTGGGGAGAAGTTGGGGAAGAGATGAGAGTTTATAGGACAAGGGAACAAGGGGGATTTGAGAGCAGAGGACAGTGTGAAGCTGAAATAGCTATTGGGTTGGGATCTAAGAGGAAAGAAAGTAAAGCCAGAACAAGAATAATGGTCTGAGAAAATACTCAAGGGTAGAAAGATTGGAGATTTCAGTGAGGGCAAAGAATAAGTTTAGGATAGATGTGGCTTAGGGAGAAGTGGAATAAGAGGAGGTTATGGTCCATGGGACACTATCAGAGTTTCTAATTATGGTAACAGAACAGTTGGCAGATAAGGGTGATATCTAGTGTGTGACAATCTAAGTGTGACTGAGGGAGTGAAGGAGTAGGTCATGGGATTCAAAGGAGGCTTTTGTTGTTTTTAAGTATTTAAGGGATTAGACTTAATCTATTTTGGTTGCAGAAGGCCGAACAAGGAACAGTTGGTAGAAGTTAACTGAAATGGGAGTCAGGACGTCATAGGAGAAATAGCAATACAGCCAATTTTGCCAGACTATAAAGTGAACATAAAATAAAACTGGAAATGTAATTGGGAACTAAGTTGTGAAGGGTTTAATAATGTGTCTAATGCCAATCAGATGTATAGTTGAACCTAGAAGTGATACAGAGTCACTTGAAGTTATTGAGCAGTGGGGTGGCTTTGTAGCAACTCTGCCCCAGATATTTTTCTGAGGTTAAGGATGCAGTCGTATGAACAGAACTTGGAGGACTCTTTTTTTTGCCCCAATCCAACAATTTGCCTGTGAGAAATTTGTCCCTCCTAATTGTTCTTAACTCGTTTGATTTCTGCTTTGCCTTCACTGTTGGGCACCAGGTCAAAATATCATGGGTCCCACGTTCTGGTTTGCATGATTCTCCCCTTCAAGGAAGATCAGCTCTGACAGGCTGAGCGCAGGTCCTTGCACCTATTCCAACCAGCAGCCCCTCCCACCAGCCCCAGAATACTTCACTAGCCCAGACGGAAACTATAACAAGTTGGACGAAGGGGAATGAAAGGCCTTGGGGCATACAGGAACAAGTCCTGCCCAGTAACCTGAGAAGGTGGTAGACAGGGAGGAGGAAGCGAGTACTCACCTTAACGCCTTAGAGACCATGATAAACCACGATCTGACATAGCCAGGCCGATCATGGGGCTGGACTCGGCCCCCAGGCCTAGGGTTCGGGACTTGGGTCGCCACTTCAGCCTCCAGAGCTCCTTTTCTCATACTCCCTGCGTCTTGTTTTGGCACCTGCTCTGCCTCTCTGGAGTGGCTCATTTCTACACCGTAAACTCCGCCTCTTCTCACTCATCTCTCATTTTCCCTACTCCTACGCACCCTGAGGGATATGGCCTCACCAGTTCTGCTCCCCCGCCCACCCCCTTTTCTAGGATCGCCTTCCTCAGTAGGATACATTACAACCAATTTGGTCAGTGGTCCCTGGGGCTCTGGAGTTTAAGGTGGTCAGTTCTACCCATTAAATCCAAGCGTGGCAATAATGTATAGAATGATCTTGGTAAAGAATTAAAGATAGTTCTCCTTCTTTGCTTCTTTTTACACTTAACCTTCCTCAGGGCACCAACCAAAGTCTTAGAGATTCTGTTTTGGAGACATGATGGGCAGCTGTCCTTTTTCCTGTTGGTTTATACGATCTAAATTTATCCATTTAAAAAGGAACAATAGTGGTTTATTTCTGCTCCCAATAAAATTCTTGTTGCTAAGCCTGGTTTGTGTAGGACATAAAATTCAGATCTGGTGAGAATGTAACAGAATTCTAATAGAAAAGGCAATGCTTTGTGTTCGATTTGAAGGAAACTTCCTTTCCCAGGATTGGCCTAGATCATGGATGATGATTGAGTAAAGACAGTTTTCTGATACATCTAAAGATGCTGTTAATTGGATGTATCAAAAAGGGTTGTCAATTAGGATTAATTTTTCACCAGGCTAGATTCTGTGTAATAGAGAATCACATAGTGATTAAAACATTATGCAACCACAGATTCATATGTAAAGCTGACTTGGCATCTGATCTAGTCTGTTTAGAATATAATCCAATTACACAAGAATTTATTAAATGACTTGGAGGCACTGGTACTGGGTGGGGTTACAAAGACAAAATGGAAAACTGTTCCTTCCCTTGAAAAGTTTATATTCTACTGTGAGTATACATTTCCCCAGATTGAGTAAATACAATATAATTTGTGGAGGTAGAGAGCACTATCTAGGTGGGTCTGGAAAGGCTCTTCATAGGAAGTATTATTTGATATAAACCTAGAAGGAATCTAAGGATCATAGGCACAGAGTGAGTGCATTCTAGGGATGATAGACAACCTGGGTAGAGAATCGTAGGATCATAGATCGAGTCATCTGGTCATCTAGTCAAACCTATAATTCTTCCCATATTCTTGGATATTCCCATATCCAAATCTACCCTACCCCTCCATTGTGGCCTCCTGTATTTAACTTAACAAACTATTCTTTATATTAGACCTGAATACTCCCCTCAAAAGTTACTTTGTATGTACTTGTATTTAATTTTCTATCTATATGTTGCTTCTTTCCAATAGAATATGAACTCCTTGGGGTCAGGGAATATTTTATTTTCATCTTTATACACATTCTATGTACCAGCCAAATAGACCTACTCTCATTAACCCAATCTTGAAATGTGGGTATGATTTAGGGGGAAAAGCACTTGATTTGATGTCAAAATAGCAAGTCTCAATTTTGGCTCTGCTGGTTTACTACTTATGTAATTTGGGGAAAGTCAGTTAATCCTTCTGCTTCAGTTTCCAGATCCAGTTCAATTTTACAAGCATTTTTAAGTGATCAGGTAACAAGCACTGTGTTAGGCACAAGGCATATGAAGAATGTGTGAAAAGGAATAAAATGAAATAATTCTGTGAAGGTATGCTAGAGCTAGTTTTTGAGGGACCTTAAATGAGAGGCAGCATAGTATAGTGGAGGGCAGGCTAGACTTGGTTATAGGAAGACCCTGGACAACCTTGGTTTCCTTATCTATAAAATGGGAACAATAATAGGACCTATACCTCGCAGTGTTAATGTATTATATAAAGGACTTCCAAAACATTATTAATAATATGAGCTAATATTATTGAAATGCCAAGCTGTGTAGTTTGCATTTTATGGTAAAGCAATAACGAGCCACTGAAGCTAATGAGCAGAAGAAGGACATGGTCAAATGCATGTTTCAGGAATATTACTTTGTAGCTTTTTGGGGAATGGATTAAAAATTTGAGATTGAAAGAAAGAAGAACAATTATGAGGTTATTCTAGCATATCAAACAAGAAGTACCATCCTGAACTAAGATGGCAGTGTAAGTTGAGAAGAGAGATAGATTCAAAATGTGAAATTAATTAATCAACCAACTCCATTTTATATCACAATTAACCCTTGCTTTGTGAGCTAGGCTTTGCTATGCTACGAAAGAACGTGATTTAAGAGAAGTGCTCACTGAAGGCAAATAGGAGACAGGAGAGTGAGTATGAGAGATAGTTCCCCAGTTAGAGTTCCCCTATTTTTGTTTGTCCTATTTTAGAACCTCCCTGTTTCTGTCTGATGCTGTCAATAATCTGCTTGTGTAAAATATTCCATTAATCAATACCTATACTTCAGTCAATCAACAAGAAGGCTTATTTATTCCTCAGGAACTGTATTATTTTTCCAATTCCTTTTTTCAGCTGGTCCTAACCAACTCCCTTGTATGACACAGAATTCCATAATGTCAATTATGCCACTTGTCACAACTTTTGTAATGCTATAACCAATCAGATAGAAGGAGTGTGTACAGTTTGATGAATGGCATTCTCCCAACATATCCTGAAGCTCACTATTACAAATTGACCTTTTCCCTATTCCTGTTACACTTCTCTATTCCTGTAAATCCTATGAATATGCATCAATATCATGAATATGTTTTAATTTCATGAATATGTATTTTGATTAATTCATCTTTTTAAACTGTAAGAATGCTCTGTATTCTGGCATGAATATCCTTGTACCAGCTGAGGTGGTCTTGGATCCCTTTTACAGGCAATTGCTAGCCTTGCTAATAAATTGATCATGCTTGGAACTCTGCGCCTCAGTTTCTCTTTATCACAGATGTTTATTACCACAAAAAGATAACTGTATTTGACACACTACACTGTTTATAATGAAGTGAAGGTAGGGAATAGGAAAGATAGTAGAGTAAGAAAGAACAATATTTTCATGATATTCCAGATCCCTTTTCAGATATACCTTGTGAAATTACCATCTTTTTATTTCACATTAAGCAGAGTGTTTGAGGTGTGCACACAAATTCTCTAAAAGTATAAGTTATAGGATCATAGAATCCTAATATCGTCCTTTTTCTTTTGAGCATTTTGTTGAAAGAGGCAGAAATTTAACTTTTATGTAAAGAAATCAACTGAGGGAGATATGTTATTACCCTTGTCACATGTAAACAGTTTGGTAACTGACAAGTGCAAAAAAAAAACCTCTTTATGCATGAAAATCTACTAACATACATGTGTGAAGAAACAGTTTTTCTGTTAGATATGAGACAGACTGATAGAAGAACTGAGTAGAAAACTGAGAGGATCTGTTTGAGGATAGAGAACAACAACAACAAATGCTTGCATTTATATAACACTTATGTACCAAGAATTTTGTTAGGTGCTTCACAAGTATTATCTAATTTGATTCTCACAGCAGCTCTAGGATGTATAGGCACTATTATTATCCTCATTTTACAGATGAGGAAACTGAGGCAAAGAGATGGCAAATTATTTGTCCAGAGTCATGCAAATTAGTAAGTGTGTGAGGCTGGCTTTGAAGTAAGGTCTTCCTGACTCCAGACCCACACTGTAACCACTGCACCACCTAGCTGCTCCAAGAATGCTTGAGGCTTCAGCACCTTGTGGTCCCTCATTTCATATGATAAAACCACTATCTGCCAAGGTTCCCATGTCTCTAACATTGATTAGACCCACTCATGGAGTCAAGGCCCTTTAGACTTGGCAGATGTCCCCAGAAAGTTGGCAAGCCCTAACTTTGTCGACCTGACAGGTTTCCATATGGAGGCAAGGGGAGCCTATCAACCCAAGTTACATGATTCAATATTCTTGTTTAAGTAATATCCTTTCTAAGTGATAGCTAAGTAAACCTCCTTTTGTTAACTGCTGACACCTATGAGTGTTTCATTTTGAAACAACACCAAACCTGAACTAACAGAGTTCTGTCCTGAATCAAACCAGCCCATTGCATTTGGTATAGTCAGTGAATGAGACAAGATGGAATTGTTGTTGAAAAGGGGGAAAGGCAATGCAAATAAATAGCATGGAGAGATTAGAGGTCAAGATATTGCACCATGACACCCTGAGGCAGGATTTCTGATGATATATGGAGAACTAAGACCTGGAATCAGAAAGACTTGATTTCAAATCTAGCTTCAGACATGTACTAGTTATATGACCTTAGGAAAGTCACTTAACATCTGTCTGCTTCAGTTTTCTCATGTGTAAAATGGGATCGAAATTACATCTACCTCCCAGGGTTGTCATGAGGATAAAATGAGATATTTGTAAAGCACTTTGTGAACCTTAAAGCACTGGAAAAGTGCTAACTCTTATTGGAAGAGTTGATGCAGATCAGTTAGTTCAAGCTAATTGCTAGAGAAGGCTTTGTTGATAACAATTCTGTAGAAGTTGAAGTGTCAGCATAAGACTTCTGAAAGTAAATTGACCAGCCCACTCAGAAATGAGAAATAGAACTCTTGGATTTTAAGAACTATGCAGTAGATGATTTAAGACAATTCCAAAAGACTCATGAAGGAAAATGTTATCCACATTCAGAGAAAGAACTATGGAGTTTGAATGCAGATCGAAGCATACTATTTTCTTGTTTTTTGTTTGTTTTTTTCTTTTTTGTGGCTTTTCCCTTTTGTTCTGATTCTTCTTTCACAACATGACTAATGTGGAAATAAGTTTAATATGATATTAAAGATGATTTAATATGATATTAAGATTTTCTTGTATCACACAGGAGACTGAGAAGAGTGAGAAGGAAATAGTGGAACTGATTATAAGAAAGCCCCAGATTTGTACCATTATTGCTCCTAGGAATGTAATTTCTTCCATGAGAGAGCAAGGGATGGCCAAACTTTTCACCCCCAAGGAACTGGGAAGGTTGCAAGAAAAGTTCACCCAGCAGACTAAAGAGGCACTGGAAAATGACTGCGGGGGAAACTGGAACCAACAAGA